TCACAATCATCCCAATGCCTACCGGACCTAACCTTGGATGTTCACATACAACAGTCTCCCTTTGCTCCTCACCAAAACCTGCTCCTGCCATTGTCTTCCTGGTCTGGTAAAAGGCAACTCTATCTTTCCTGTTGCTCAGGCCAAACGATTTGTCTCCTCTCTCTCACACTCCGTTTCCAATCTATCGACATTTCTACCATAAAAATATTTTCCGAAACTGATCATTCCTCGCCACCTTCACTGCCATCGCTCTTGTCCAAGTCATCATAATCTGATCCTGGACTGCCTCCCAGCTGCCTTCCTGTTTCTGCCCTTGCCTATATCAACCTAACAGACAGAGCATCGTTTTAAACCCAAGTCAGATCACGGCCTGCCTCTGCTCAAACTCCTCCGATATCTTCCCATCTCACTCAGAAGAAAAGCCAAAGTCCTTAAAATGGCTCACAGAACTCCACACCGTTTTCACGCACTCATTATTGCTCTGACATAGTCTACTTCTCTTCCCATAGCTCACTCTGAGCCAGCCACACTAACCTCCTTGTCATTCTTCAAACAGGCCTGGCACACTCCCACCCCAGGACCTTAACACATCCCATTCCCTCTGCCCACAATGCTCTTCCCAGAGAAGTGCACGTGGCTTGTTTCCTCATCTACTTTAGGTCTTTGTTTAGATATCACCATCCCAGTGGGACCTTCCTTGACTATTTAAAAAGACTGCAACCCCTTCCCTCTGCCCCCAGACTCCCTCTTCCACTTTCCTGATTTATTTTTCTCCGTAGCAGATACACTGGCTCACGTGGTATGTATATGACTTAGCTCTTTTTACTCAGTTATTTTTGTTGTTTGTCTCCTCTGACTAAAAGGTAAGCTTCACGAGGGCAGAGATTTTTGTCTGTTTTGTTCACTGTTGTATTCCCAGTGCCTGGCACACAGATACTCAATAAACATTTATTAATTCAGAAAATGAACGAATTTCCTTATCCTCATCTTCTCACTCTTCTATTCGATTCTTCATTTCTGTTATTATATTTTTGATTCCAAGGGCTGGGTTTTTTTTCTCAGAGTATTCTTTTTTCAAAGCACGTTGTTCTTATTTCATTGTTCTTACTGCAACATCTAGTCTCTCTGAGCGCATTTGTTTGTGTGTTCAGGTTTTGCAGAGTCTCCTCCACAGTGCCTTCATGTGTTTGTGCATTTCATCATTCTTCTGCCTTTTTTTTTTAAAGATTTTATTTATTTATTTTTCCCCCAAAGCCCCAGTAGATAGTTGTCTGTCATAGCTGCACATCCTTCTAGTTGCTGTATGTGGGACGCGGCCTCTGCATGGCTGGAGAAGCGGTGCGTCGGGTGCGTGCCCGGGATCCGAACCCGGGCCGCCGGCAGCAGAGCGCGCGCACTCAACAGCTAAGCCACGGGGCTGGCCCTTCTGCCTTTTATCTTAGCGGTTTTTCTCAAATGTCTGGTAATCTCTTTAAGATTTTTAGATTGACCTTTAGAAGTATAATTTATCTACAACAAAGTTCACATTTTAATTGTTCAGGTAATGGCTTTTGATGAATGTATGAGCCCACGGGACCACCATCCCCATCAAGGTGTGAATATTAGCGTCCCCCCAGAAAGCTCTCTTGTGTCCCTTTGCAGTCAGTCCCCCCACATCCCAAGCAACCACTGATTCGCTGTCACTAGATTAGTTTTTGCTTGTTCTATTAATTTATACAAATAGAATCAGATACTATGTAGTCTTTGTGCCCGGCTTCTTCCACTTAGCATAAAGAGATTCATCCACAATTTTGCCTGTTTCAGTAGTTCCTTCCTGCTATATATGACTCAATTTGTTTACAACTCACCTGTTGACAAAGATTTGGGTTGTTATCAGCTCAGCTGTAGTAAGCCGCCTGCTGTGAACGTCTGAGTACAAGTCTTTGTGCGGACCATAGCCAGGACCAGGGCAAGGCAAACTAGGAAGCCTGGGTCACAAAATTTAAGGAGGCACTCACTCTCATGTTCATATAAGTGCCAACTCTGCACTTGCACAATCCTGAGAGTGAGCGCCTCCTTAAATTTTTCACCTTGCTTGCCTCACCTGTGCAGGCCCTGATGTAGATATAAGTTTTGATTTTTCTTGAGTAAACACCCAGGAGGGGAGTTGCTGGATCATAGACACGTATGTGTGTAACTATAAAAATCTGCCGCACAGTTCTCCAAGGTGGTTGCACCACTGTATACTCCCGCTAGTGATGGATGAGACTTCCCGTTGCTCCACATCTTCACCAACAAGTGTATTTCCAGCTTTTCTTCTCTGTTGCCACAGACAGATTGCTTCCTGCACATGTGGCTCCTCTGTGTGGTTCTTTCTCTCATCCTCATCTTCTTGGCTTTCCTTGATCCAAACCAGACTCAGGACAGCTTTTGCTACTAGTCTTGTTGAACTGCTTCCACACCCCATTGTTGCAAACAAAAGGGATCTAGCTGTGCAGCTCCAAGTGAGCTGTCCACTTTCAGGAAGAGAGTTTTCACCAGTGCTTTTCGGAGATCGGTCCCTACTGGGTCCTTCACTCCTCTCTGAGCTTCTTTCTTTCGCTTTTTCCTCCACAGCCTTTGTAGGATCTCAGTTGCTTTTGTTAGCCCTTACATATATTTTGGATTCTGTGGATTCCATTTATCTTCAGGCTTGGCTGAAAATAGTATTTGCAGAATTTCTCCTTTTTTGCCTTTGCATAGTTTCTCGGAGTAAAAGAGTCAAAATGTTCATTTATACACCCATTTTGAACTGGAAATCATCTTCATTTATATTTCCAAGTAAACAATGGGAGCAGAGGTGGAGACTTGCATATTTGGGAAAAGTTATTTGGGAACAATACAGAGATGTTATGGTATGTTAATTTCTAATTAGGACTGCACACTGATAAGGTTGCTAGAGTCCTAACAGTATTTGAAATTGATGTCACCTTTTTTCAAGGGTCTCTCTAAAAACGGTGTGGTGGTCAGGTATAAGAGAGAATCTTTATTTATAGTCAATGTATCCCAGGAGCAGGCTGGGGAAGGCAAATTCCCACTTGCCTTCTCAGTAATTCCAACAGGAGGTTGTGTGGTTCTCACAAGCTCTGGCTTTCTTGGGTAAGACATTAGGAGGAGCCAGAGGATAAATGAAATTGGAGGTCATACGTTAAGGGTGCATTCCTTGACTGATGCCCAGCAGCATTACAAGCACAGTTCCTGGCACTGAGCAGTCAAGGAACTGCTGGGTTCTTCCAGGGACGGGATGAACTCGCTGGCCTTCATATTCTGAACTGAGCATGAATCTGCATTCTCTTCTCTTTCACTGGTGAAACGAAACAACTGGAGTAGGTTTTTAAAAAAAATTAACTAGATTTTAAATTATTATAAAATAATATATATATATATATTTTTTAAAGATTTTATTTATTTATTTTTTCCCCCCAAAGCCCCAGCAGATAGTTGTATGTCATAGCTGCACATCCTTCTAGTTGCTGTATGTGGGACTCGGCCTCAGGATGGACGGAGAAGTGGTGCC